CGCCAGTGGGCGGTGGGCCTGTCCGCTGCCCGCGTGCTCCACGGCTTTGTTCTTCTTTGCTCCCCGTCTCCCTGGTCTGCAGACCAGGGAGATGGGGAGCAGCTTTTCTCGCCCCGGAGGAGGCGGGCGGCGGGACCAGGCGTCCCGCCGCTCCAGTCCTCTGGGGCGAGAAAATCCCCGTTCGTAACTGCAGATCCGACGTAAGTCGGATCCGCATAACTCGGGGACTGCCTGTATTGGGTTTGGGTTACTGAGCAAGCCACATGCTTGTGGATGTGAGGGTGCAGGAATTTGGGTTGGAGTATGTGAGGGGCTCAGGGCAGGGAGGTTTGGAGTGAGATGGGCAGTGTGTGGATGGTGCAGATTTGCAGGTATGTGGATGGTGCAGGAGTGTTGTGGCAGAAGACTGAGGATGTGGGGCTGCAGGAGTTTGGGAATGTGAGGGGCTCAGGACAGGGGTTTCCAGTGTATGATAGGCTCAGATCTAGGGTCCAGGGCGTGGTGTACAGGAATGTTATAATGCTGCGGCCAGATGGGGGCTTGGCCCCAATTGGGGGTTTGTAGGCCAGGCTTCATTTTTAAATAAAATATTATGTCAAACACAAAAAGTTTCTGCATTGTCTTTATTTATGAGAAGGGCGGAGAACCTGTTCTGAGTCAGGGGTCACTGACCCACAGAAGTCAGTTGGAGCCACACAAGTAAGATGCAAAAAAATAACTCCTCCAGCACTCCCCCACACCTCTCTAATGTGGCCCCAACTGTGGTGATGGGAGCAGAGGACATGGTACTGGGGAAGGATGCTAGTGGGGTCTGTGGCAGGAGATGGGATGCCAGTGGAAACAGGGTGCCAGTGGGTTCTGCGGCAAGGGACAGGGATCAGGGAACAGGGTGCCATTGGGTTCTGCAGCAGGGGACGGGGGCAGGGTGCCAGTATGCCACAGACCTGTGCCACAGGTCCCAGTGTGCCACAGACCTGCTTTGTGGTACAGCGCTGGCTGTTTAGGGGAGGGGGAGCAGCCTGCGCACTTCCTCAAACCCCAGAAGTGGCACGCAGCTGCTGGACTTTCGTCCACCCTGCAGAAAGCCGGCACTACTTCCTTCGTTGTTGGAGGTAGGTAGTGAGGCTTCTTCAAGGTGGGGAGAAATGGGAGGGGCCCTCACCATCAACTCGTCGGGGCTTCACGATCGATCGACGGGTTGCTGACCATGGCTGTAAGTGCACTTCTGTCATGATTTAATACAGTGTAACTTTCCTGTCCCAGTCTTGGGCAATTTCTAAGGAGAGCTTGTAGCTGATTAAAAGCTTTGAAATCTTACTCATTATTTAGTGTATGTTCTCTTGAAACCCCTCTAATTCTATGGGATTTTTGACCGGTATGGACTAGCCTTCCTACTAAAGACAAAGATACATGTTGATGCAATATCCAAGATGATCTGAAATATCTTGAATTTCTGATTCGCTTAACTTCAGCGATTGTGGTGACATTACAAAATGTGAGAAAAGCCATATTAATATACAGTGTTTGTATTAAAGCTGTCACTCTTAATACTTCTACAGCTTATTAAATGAAAAGACAGAACAGAGTCTTTCAGAGACACAACGACATCTTGCTAAAAAAAAATATGAATTACAACTTACCCAGGAGAAAATTATGGTTTTGGATGAAAAAATTGGTGAGTTAGATATTAGTTAAAATTAATAGTAGTATTGTTTTCTCTCACTTCTTCCACGTTATATAAAAAATGTTTGCTCCACAACTTTATTTTACACTATTAAGTGTTCCAGTAATACAAAGGCAAAGAAATTAATTCATCATCAGAAATTCAGCATTAAAATAGTCATTTATTTTATGGCTAAAAGGTATATGGGTACATCAAAATGCGATTTTATTCTTATGTTCATCAATAAACAGAAAATAATTTTCAGTTCTTAGGAGTTTTCTCCTTATCTGAGATGAGCTTAATTAAGATAAACTGCTCATTAGTTGAACAATAAGTTTTGTTACCCATCTACTTTGTCTGGGCTTATCAGTAATATTTGTTTACACAAACCATGACTCCCAATCCTGCAGGATACTGAGACAGCACTTCTAAAGACTGTTCCTTTAACTAAGGATGAAAGTTACCAGAATAAATTTTCAACTGACGTTCAGAGCAATATGCTCAAGTCAGGAAAAAGAGAAGGGTGCAAGAATGGTGGGGCAATCTGAGGATAATTGACCAAACTAGAACCCAATTAAAGAGTACTGTATAACCACTTTCTAGATCAGTCAACATAATCTATACTCGCCAAAGTAAAATGCAGCAGTTTACAAAAAAAATATTTTTTTACAGGTGGCAAAACCTACAGTTAAGATTGTTCAACACTTTCTGTTGTGTCATATTTTGTTTTCAGTTGCTTATGTGTACCTGTTGTGATTGTTGGGAGATAAGGGACCTCCTTCCTTCCCTCCAAACTAAAAATCCCTTAAACCAAGAGGAACCCATGCCACAAATAAATTCTGGGGGCAAATAGGAAAAAAAACCAGGTACTGGAGTGAAAGTCAAAGTCTAACAATTAGGAAACTGGGAGGGGATACAGTGCAGAGAACTCCTGATAGTACTCATGTTCCTCTGAGGCATCAGAGGAGTCGGTGTACACTGCCCAGAGGAATTCTGTTCAGATGTGTAATTTAACAAGAAATCTGAATTAGGTTGCTGAAGGTGCATCTACACAGCAGAGGTAACTCGAAATAAGCTACGCAAATTGAGCTACATCCATTGTGTAGCTTATTTCAAAATAGTTTATTTTGAAATTGGGAGCATCTACACAGCACTTATTTTGAAATAGGAGGACTCTTCCTCCGACTTCCCTTACTCCTTGCACAATGAGGGTTACAGGAGTCAGAGTAAGAAGTCCTCCAGCTTGACAGTATTTCGACATTATTTCAAAATAACTGCCTGCTGTGTAGACACAGGTTATTTCAAAATAATGTTGCTGTGTAGATGTGCCAGGAGTTGCAGAGTATACCTTTTGATGGTATGTGCTATTTGTACCACTGGGGCAGGCAAGTTGAAACCCACCCATATCTAAAGGCTCACCCCTCAATTGAGAGCGAGGAACCATTAAGCTGAAGTTACAAGAAAATAGCTGGGGCAACAAAAGAAAAAACAGGAGCAAGAGTGAGGTGAAAGATAAAGAATTCTGAGGGAGACAGTAAGCAGAGAACTCCTGATAGTGCTCATTGCTACTCTAGGGATAAATTGAGAGTCCCAAGCAGCCGTAACAGCCTAATAACAGATATTGAGTATGAAAGTAAACTGATGAACTACAGGTGAGAGCCTGAATTACATATTACCATGCCCCCGCCCCCAACCACCAAAGATTGCAGGAAAAGAGAGAGAAAGGTCTTGTGGTTGAGGCAGCTGAATGCTGCCCTGGGGAATTTGATTCTATCCTTACTCTGCCATTCAGTTCCTGTGTGATGCTAGGAAAGTCAATTAAACCAAACTTTTTACAAGTGATCACTAATTGTTCCTCATTTTCTGGGTGCCAAACCTGACAGCCTGAGGCCTCATTTGCAAATTTGAGAAGCATTCACAGCTGCAATGGAATTCAATGTAACTTTTCTTTGCACATATAAAGTGCTATATTATACTATATACAAGTTCTTGGTGTCTTACATTAGTCACCTTGGATACTTTTGACTTCAATATATTTTTACATCTTAGTTCCTTGTAGTTAAATAGGGACAATAATGCCCTTTTATCTTACAAGGATGCTGTAAAAATAAAGTAATGTTACAAGCATTCAGATAAGTACCAAAGAAAAACTTAGGATGAAATTAGTAACACTGTCTTCAAAGCAGAATGTGAATGGTATGCAATAATTTAGTCTTGGAGCCACACATATAGAAGGAGAAAGCAGTGAAACGCTATTCAGTATTTAAGTGAGCACCACTTATTCTATATACTGAATGAGGCAGAGAAAAACGATGATGATATAACTAAAGAATGTATGATAATATGTATGCACAATGGGACTGAACTAGAGTAGCACAAGCAACCTTAATTCTGGTTATAACTTTTTTGAATGCTTGATATTACAGTCTTAATAATTTTCTTTTAGTGTAGTTGCCTTGTATGTAAAATGCATAGGCATGTCACCATTTATTGTGTGTCATAGGCGTGTGCATGGCCTTGTTGAGTGCAGAGAAAAGACTTGGTCTGAGGATGAGTCAGGGTTGTATAGCGAAAGAGGCTGTTGTCTGTAAAATTCTTGCAAAATTTGTTGTAGCAGTGAGAGGGTTTGCAGTGGATGAGACCAGGGGATTGCAGGAAAAGAGAGAGAAAGGTCTTGTGGTTGAGGCAGCTGAATGCTGCCCTGGGGAATTTGATTCTATCCTTACTCTGCCATTCAGTTCCTGTGTGATGCTAGGAAAGTCAATTAAACCAAACTTTTTACAAGTGATCACTAATTGTTCCTCATTTTCTGGGTGCCAAACCTGACAGCCTGAGGCCTCATTTGCAAATTTGAGAAGCATTCACAGCTGCAATGGAATTCAATGTAACTTTTCTTTGCACATATAAAGTGCTATATTATACTATATACAAGTTCTTGGTGTCTTACATTAGTCACCTTGGATACTTTTGACTTCAATATATTTTTACATCTTAGTTCCTTGTAGTTAAATAGGGACAATAATGCCCTTTTATCTTACAAGGATGCTGTAAAAATAAAGTAATGTTACAAGCATTCAGATAAGTACCAAAGAAAAACTTAGGATGAAATTAGTAACACTGTCTTCAAAGCAGAATGTGAATGGTATGCAATAATTTAGTCTTGGAGCCACACATATAGAAGGAGAAAGCAGTGAAACGCTATTCAGTATTTAAGTGAGCACCACTTATTCTATATACTGAATGAGGCAGAGAAAAACGATGATGATATAACTAAAGAATGTATGATAATATGTATGCACAATGGGACTGAACTAGAGTAGCACAAGCAACCTTAATTCTGGTTATAACTTTTTTGAATGCTTGATATTACAGTCTTAATAATTTTCTTTTAGTGTAGTTGCCTTGTATGTAAAATGCATAGGCATGTCACCATTTATTGTGTGTCATAGGCGTGTGCATGGGGTGTGCCGAGTATGCCCAGGCACACCCTAATGTCTGGGGCTAGCCAGAAGCTGCTGGAGGAAGAGGGGGATTTGGGATGGAGTGCCACAGCCCCTCACTTTAAATTCCTCGCAGCCATCTACTGGGCACTGTGGGGCAGAGAGAGCGCGTGAGTGGCATCCTCAAACGCCGTGCAACTGGTGAGAGGGGAAACGCTGGGAACTTTAAAACCCAGGAGCCCAGCTCCAAAAGCAGCTGGGGCCCGACTACAGACGGCAGCTCGAGCCATTTTTGCAGCCCGCGCCCAGCCCTACAGCACCGCACAGCGCCCCGGGGGCACCCCCGCCTGTCCCAGCAACACCACATGGCGCCCTGGGGGCACCCCCACGCGTCCCGGAAGCACCTGGCCCTGCAGCGCCCCAGGGGCACCCCTGCCCGTCCCAGCAGCACCGTGCAGCGCCCCGGGGGTGCCCCTCCCCAGCCGTTCAGCTTGGGCTGGGTCTGACTCCAGCCCTGCAAGCTGTAAGGCAGAAGTTGAAGGTAAGGAAGGTGGGGGGGAAATAAGAGGAAGGGGTGGGAGAGGAAGGGTTTTTTGCAGTGGGGGAGGGTAGAGGAAGAAGAAAGGGGAAGAGGTGGAAGAAAGGGAAGGCACCAAAGCAACAGGGTAGAGGAGACACAAATGCTAGGGGCGAAGTGGAGACAATGAGGAAAAGAGCAGGAGGGGAGGTGTCGGTGGGAGGTGGGACAGGGTGATGCTGGAAGAGGAGAGGGTAAGGGCATTGGTAATTGGAGAGGGAGGTGCTGGGAGAAGGCTTGACAGAAGGTGTAGGCATGAGGAAGGTGGGTTGGAGCAAGTCATGTGTGAGGGCACAGGGACATGAGAGGAATGGGGGCAGAGGCTGGTGTAGGGGGAGGTGCTGGGAGAAGGCTTGAAAGAAGAGAAAGGCGGGGATGGAGCAAGTAATGTGTTAGGGCACAGAGGGGCATGAGGGGAACGGGGGCAGATAGTGGTAAGGGGGTGGGCATCAGGGAAAAAGGGGGCAGGGGCAGTGAGGGAAGGGGGAAGCACCAGGAGGGTGCAGGGCTAAGGGAAGGTGCAGGTGCCAGGGGATTCTGGGGGTGAAGCAGAAGGGCAGACACCTGCAGGGGAGGGACCGGCACCAGAGGAGAGAGGCAGGGCAGGTGTGTAGAGGGAGGTGTTAGGAGAGGGGATAAGAAGGGGTAGCTCACATGATCAGAGTGGGGCTACTGCAGGAGTGGGCACAGAGGGGAGAGAAGGGCTGGTGGAGGGGGGAAGGTCTCAGGAAGGCTGAGGGCAGTGAGAAGGGCAGGAGTCAGGACAGCAAAGGAGGGTGGGGGCAGCAGGCATCAGGGGAGCTGATGGAGCAAGGGGAGGAGACATGGCAGCAGAGTGGAAAGGTAGATATTTATTAATAACTTGGGTGCCACAGTGGCACATCCAAACAAGCCACATGAATTCAGTACTGGTGCACAACACAAAATTCATTCAGCTCATGGGAGGAAACTTTCAGAGGGAACACTCCTTTCCCAGCCTCTCCACTCCCACATTAATGTCACACACATTGGGTTAATGCAATTGCAGGATAGATGCATGAGGGGGGTTTGGTGGGGGCCAATCTAATCCCTATTGGTAGGAGGATGGTGGGAAAAGTCCTGGGGTGTGTGTCACATGACACCTTTTACTTTTGGTCATGTGTCCATCTTGCCCTTCGAGTGTTGCCTCCAGAGGTGTGGCTAAGGGGGGTCAAAGTACATTAAAAAAATTCTTTGGGTGCACACCCTAATGAAATGTGCTGCGCATGCCTATGTTGTGTGTCAAAACATTTCATTAGTTATTTCTTGACTACTAGAACTTACGATAATTTCTTACAAGTTATAGGTAGAGCATGGTCTATGTTTGCTTGACTGTCCCTCTAATTCATGGAGGACAATCTTCAGAAGTTTGAGAACTAGAACTCATCTTCTGGCAAGCAAGGACTGGGGCTTCAGCCCCACTCTTGCTGAAGCCCCAAGCCCTGGCAAGTGTATCCTGCAGGGCTTCAGCTCCAAGACTCTCCTCCCTTCTCAGAAAAAGACCTCAGCCTTGACTCCCTATTGGGCAGAAATCCCTACTATACCACCACTGTTGTAAGACAAAGCTCTCGATTTTTTTCTCTCCCCTCCCCCAAAGTCTGGTAGGTTGAGGATGGAGAGATTTGGGGAGGAGGGGCTCTGAGTCATACTCAATTTGCATGTGGCTGGTGAGCTATAGTTTGGCCACTCCTGAGAGAGTATGTATATGTAATCCTTCTGCCAGGTGGAGCCGGCAGCAACCAGAGTCGGGTATCTAGTGTTTCTTTTCAACAATACAACATATAACAGGCTTGCTCCATCCCCTTAGTGATGTAGGCACCTCTGAGATGCACTACATTCCCACTTGCAAGCACAGTCTGAGTGTAAAAAAGAAACTTTTAAGAAATGAGAGAAGTCACCTGACATTAATTAGAGACTATGCCAAAATCAGGATTCATAACATAAAACTATGAGCAGGACACTCACCCCAGAGTGCATGGTGCAAAGTCTTCTGCCTCATGCTTTTATGTTACGCAACCAGAAGCTCCTTTTTTGTGACCCCGCTCTGCTGCCTGATCATTCTCCACTCACAGTGGTTGTCCTTGGTCAGTGAGGACACAGAGTTCAATGGTGTTAACTGTGTGAGTTCACTTCCCACCTGAGAAAATAGGCAGCTTGCTTGCTCTACCATTTGAGCACTTGCCCTAGCTAGCCTCTCTGCCAGCTGCTGTTTCTCATCACCTGGCCACCCCACCTGCTGTTGTACCTTGCTGTCTGGCTCCCCTGCCAGATGTTCCTGTTTGACTCTTTTTTGCCAGCTGTCAGTCAGTTACATTCTGCAGGAACCTCTGTAGGTCAGTGTCTTAGTGACTTTTAGCTCTCAGCAGGCTGGGCATAAACACTGCCTCATAACAAGTGATTTCAACTCTTTTAGAATACAAGAAATAACAAAATAATGAAGCCTATTTAGCTCTATCTTTGAACTGTGGGGAGGAATCAATTAAAACAGACAGGGGAAGGGACCCTTAGGGAGAGTTCACATCTCCTGGCAGGCAGCCTGTCACACCTCTCTGATTTTCATGGGGCGCTGGCATTTGAGCCCCTGGTGTTAATGAGATCCTTTCAGCTAAAAGTGATCCCCTCATTTGGACCAGGATCAACACAATTCTGCTCTTCTTTATTCATACAATAAAGATAACAACACTGATAACATCATTTCACTATCCTGGCATTCAGCACTAAAGTGATTTGTAAACCAGAAGCCAAAGTTCATCACTTTGAACAACATAGCTCTTCTTCTGGATTTCTTGGTAGAGTAGGTGTGCTCATGTAAATACAGTTTGCTCCAGAAGTCTCTGCCCTTCCCCAGCTAGCTATCAGAGGCAAATTCATTCAGACCCTGCTTACATCTGTATGTGTGTAGCTGCAGTGCACCTGGGAGCCCTGCTTTTCAGCACTGATGCTAGCTCTGCTCTAATTAGCACTCTGCTAATTAGGACATGCTAGTTCTGCTCTAATTAGCACTCTTAAAATGTTAGTGTGGATGCAGTAGCACGGGGTGTGGTTTGGGCTAGCCACCGAAGTATATACCCAAAGGCTGTGTCTAGAGTGCATCCCTTTTCCGTAAAAGGGATGCAAATTAGACACATCGCAATTGCAAATGAAGTGGGGATTTAAATCCCCCCCGCTTCATTTGCATAAGCATGGCTGCCGCTTTTTTCCGGCTCAGAGCTTTGCTGGAAAAAAGCGCCAGTCTAGACGAGGGATCTTATTTTAAGAGGAATAAGGGATCTTTTGGTAAAAGCTATATTTTCCAAAAGATCCCCGTCTAGACTGGCGCTTTTTTCCGGCAAAGCTCCGAGCCGGAAAAAAGCGGCAGCCATGTTTATGCAAATGAAGCGGGGGGGATTTAAATCCCCACTTCATTTGCAATTGCGATGTGTCTAATTTGCATCCCTTTTACGGAAAAGGGATGCAGTCTAGACACAGCCAAGGGGTCTGGCATCACTGTATTTAGACATCTAGCCCATGGTGCCATGTCCACACAGTTATTTTTAGAGCATTAACTTGTGTAGAGCTAGCATTTGTCTGCTGGGATGCATGCTCCTAACTGCAGTGTAGATTTAACCTTACTGTCATATAGCTCAGTTACAGCCTACTTAAAGAGTCTTGCATTATTTATATGACATTTTATTGTGAATTTGTTAAGTTTTCTTTAGTTACTCATTCTGAATACTCTTGTGTGGAATACTCACTGCCCTTTTTGGGTTTTAATTAGCACTCAGGCATGGGCATTGAGTATGTTAGTAGTCTCATTGATATTAGTGTGTCTATTTCTGTATCTATCATTATGCTTAATTGATTTGCTGGTTCTGGGCCTTAGTTGTGTTTTCTTGTTGTTTAGAAGTATATCAAGCTATGTGAAATGGAAAATTAGTATTTTAAACAGAGTTAATGGGGCTTTTATATGTGCAGATAACTTTTCAAAACAAAATCTTACACAACAAGAAGAGATCCATATTCTCAAAGAAACTATTGCTGAACTGGATACAGAAAAGGATTCCTTACAAGAATGTATGGATGAAAAAACTGAAAAAATTGCTTCCTTTCAAGAAACCCTGGCAATTAAAGTATGTTCTTGCATGTACATTTCTATATATTTATTAGTATTAAAATATTTATCATAATAGTTATATATGCTAATGACCCATTAGGTCACCTCTTCATTGGGATCTCAAAAGTGCTATCTGTTAGCCAAACTCTGCTTCCATTAAAGTCTATTAAAAAAACTGTTGACTTCAATTGCAACTGTTAGCCAGTGTTGAGTGCCCTGTCCTTCAGTGTTTTATACAGTCTAATTTTAACATTGTCAAGATGAGGAGGGATAGTTCAGTGGTTTAAGCGTTGGCTGTCTAAATCCAGTGTTGCAAGTTCAATCCTTGTGGAGGCTGTTTAAGGATTTGGTGCAAAAAATTGTCAGGGAGGGTAGTTGGTCCTGTTATGGAAGGCAGGGGACTGGACTTGATGACTTTAGTCCCTTCTAGGAAATAGGTAATCTCCATTAATTTAATTTACTACTTTTCTTGGGTGAACCAGATTAAACTACAGGTTTGAACCTCTCTGATCCAGCACCATAGGGACAGGAGTGGTCCCAAACTAGGGAATTTGCTGGACCAGGGGAGGTCAGACATCTGGGCTCTCCTAGGGCTTCCCTCCTGGCTGCTGCCCTGGGAAAACCCAGAGGCCTGACCTTGTGTGGCCTATTTGCCTGGCACTGCTGCCCCCAGCCTGCATACCTGCCCTCCAACCCCAGGCAGAGTGTCAGCTGCTTCTGGGGTTCCCCGGTTCTGCCTTGCGCATGGTGGCAGCTGCTTCCAAGGCTCCCTGCCCCCAGTCATAGCTAGGTCCCCTGTTGTAGTTCCAAGTTAGTTTCCCTTGTTTTCTTTAAAAAAAAAAAAAAGAAGAAAGCTAATTAAAATCTCCCCTCAGGGGGTTTGAACCTGCTCCCCCGCAAAGCCTCTGTGAACTGGGGCTCTTACAGCTGCTTTAAAAAAAAGAGAGAAGAGAAGAAGACGACAGCGACAAAAGAAGAGACAGAAATAAATAAAGACAGATAAACAAACAGCAAAATAAGAGAGGAGGAGGAGACAACTAGATATGTCTGGCTCCTCAGGATTTAAAAGATGTGAAAAGTGCCGCAAGCCAATGCCGGCTTCAGACGGCCATGCAAAATGTATCCGGTGTCTGGAGGGAAACCCACTCACCCCAGACCTGTACACATTGTGCTTCCCTCATGGCGAGAGCCAGAAAAGACAGAGAGCTCCACCTGAGAATGATTTTATTTGAAAAGGTTTTACAACCTACTGAAGAGCAGGGGGCAACCTGACAAGAACTCCCCCCATTTGCGAAAAGTATTTCAAGACAGAGAGTCTCACTCTCTTCCACCTTCCTCCTCCCCAAAACACAGTGGAGGAGAGGCACGGGGCAGTATGAGGACCCCCGCTAGTAAAGCAGTTGGAAGATCCTCTCACTGAGCACTGGAACCAGTGCGTGCTTCCTTGGAGCTGGCAGAAGCCCAAGAGCACTCTAAACAGCCAGCACGGCAGGAAAAGCCAGTGCTGCTTAAAGCCATGGTGCCGCTTAAAGCTGCGGTGCCATAAAAGAAAGCAGCACACGCTGTAAAGCTGGCACTGACTGTACACCGACCGCCTGCAAACAGCCTCAAGCCTCTGCTGAAAGTCACAGCAGGCAGCAACATCCATGCCTGCCTCCTGCAGACCATTCACCTGAGAGATCTCTACCCAGATATTCTCCACATAGATCTAGGTCACCAATATCACTTCAAGAAGGTCCTTTATCTGATGATGACTGACACACAATATTCTCCTCGCGTCACACATTCCCTAGGAGATCGTGTTCATATCACTACAGGGGCTGTACCGCAGCAAAACACCTGGCACCATCCTGGGCTTACCCACCCCCACCTTATCCACCACACTGGGAGCCCTGGGACCATTGGGACCCATATAGATGCTGGTCCTCAACCCACTCCACACCATTGAGGAAAAGGTTGCCCCAGCCACAGTCCCTACCTCCTACAAAGCATTCAGAGGAGGAGAATGAACAAATTTCAGATAATGAATCAGACATTCACACAATGGATGTGATGTGCTCTGATAACCTGGCGTCACAAGCAGATGAGGCGGTTATACTGTCTGACTCTGTAGCAATTGATGACCTCAAACAATTTCAAGAATTATTTAAGAGTAGTGACAAGTCAACAAGTTTCCCTGCAAGAAGTACAGGAAAAACAGCACCAATTGCTAAAAAACCTATACCCCACCTTACATGGCAAAATTGCCTTACCAATAGAAGAGGCAATCATGGAAACTTCGGAAGAACTGTGGAAAGCACCTACATCCATTCAACCAACTAATAAAAGGGTTGACAGAAAGTACTTTGTTCCCCCAAAGGACAATGAATTTTCGTCTGCACATCCACAAGCAAACTCATTAGTTGTGGAATCAGCACAACAAAGAGCTAAGCTACTGCAATACAGAACCAGCAACCAGGACAAGGACCACAAGAAGTTAGATTTATTCAGCAAGAAAATCTACTCCTCTTTCACCTTACAACTAAGAAGCTCAAATTATTCTGCTCTGCTAGCAAATCATGATTTTGACAATTATTCTAAATTAGGAGAACTGATGCCACATCTCCCAGAATCCGAAAGATCAATTCTTAAAGCAATAGTCCATGAAGGGCATACAATCGCTTGCACCGCTCTGCAGACTGCAAAGGATATAGCAGACATCACAGCCAGAGTGACAGCTACAGCGGTGGTAATGCAGAGGGCCTCCTGGCTACAGTCCTGTGGGGTTCCCCATGAACTCCAACCCAAAGTAGAAGACTTGCTATTCGACATGTTAAAGTTATTTGCGGCTACGACGGATGAAATTCTCCACAATAGCAAAAATTCAAGAACCACACTTCGCACTTTGGGCATGTGCACACCACCTTATAAATGGAAATGTTACAACCCATATAACCCATACAACCGAAAAAGATACGGGCAATAGAATCGACCACAGAGGTCCTATGCAGATACCAGACCAAGGCAACGGGGTCAGAGAAGGCACTCCAACCAAGGCAGCCCTCCAACTACTCAACCCTCAAAGCAGCAAATTTGAAGATGTGGTTGAGGGTCTGCACGACCTCCCTCACGATCTGACACCAGGACAACATGGCCATCTTTTTACCCACATCCGTTCCTTCCACAATGGGAATTTATAACATTGGACTGCTGGGTTCTAGAAATAATTCGAGTAAGCTATACCATCCCATTTACTACTATCCCACCAACCTTAACCTCTACCCCACCCCTCTTCAAGGACCACTCTCACGAGACCCTACTAAAACAAGAGAGCAATCGCCTCTTGTACCCAAGAGAGGGTACCCGAGGAATTCCATGGAAAGGGGTTCTACTCGAACTATTTCTTGACAGAGAAAAAAACGGGGTTGGAGACCTATATTAGACCTCCACAAATTGAACAAGTTTCTCAAGAAACAACGTTTCAAGATGGTCACACTCACAACGATCATTCCTGCGCTAGATCAAGGGGACTGGTTCACAGCCCTCGACCTGCAAGACGCGTACTTTTACATAGCCATCCATCCAGCACACAGACGCTACCAATGCTTTACCATTGGATTAGAACATTTCCAGTACAAAGTTCTCCCTTTCAGCCTTTCATCAGCTCCTAGAGTATTTTTGAAGGTACTAGCTGTTGTTGCTGCATACCTCAGATAAAAGAACATCATCATTTTTCCCTACCTAGACGACTGCCTTATAAAGGGATCATCACGGGACGAAACTGCCTCAATGATAAACACAACCAGAGCCCTCCTCAGTCGTCTAGGCCTTCTAGTCAATGAACACAATCAACATTGCATCCAGTCCAAGACAAAAAGCTTATTGGCGCACACCTGAACTCAATCACAGCTTGAGCATACCTACCTCGACAACATTTTAAAACTATACAAGAAATTATAAACATTATATTTGCAACCCCTACCACCACAATACTTACCTATCTCCAGCTAATGGGCAACATGGCTGCCACTACTTACGTAGTTCATCACACTCACCTACACTTTCACTGCTTTCAACTTTGGGTAGAAACCATTTACATCCCATCACAACCTCGGAACAAAAGGTTTACCAGTCCACCAAATGTCCTCGCATCCCTATGATGGTGGACAGTACTGGACAATCTTCTGACAGGGGTTCCATTCCAACAAACCAAATACACTATCCAAATTACCACAGACGCATCCCTCCTCGGCTGGGGAGCGCATATAGACAACCAAGGGGTTCAGGGCAGGTGGTCTCTGAGCGAGACATCACTACATAACAACCTCCTTGAATTGAGGGCAGTAAGGGCCTGTGCACATTTTGCTCCTGAAATTGCCAATCGAATAGTCCGCATCCTAATGGAGAATATCTGCATGGAAGCTATCCGCCTGTGCAACTGGTGCATCCGCAACCAAGTCACTCTCATAGCATCCTCCCTACCTGGGGTGAACAACACCAAAGCGGATTCTATCAGCCGCAACTTTACCTTAGACCACGAGTGGGAGTTACACATGGAGGTCACCAATTCAATATTCCACCAATGGGGATGGTCATCTATAGACCTTTTTGCTTTTACCTGGAATACCAAGTGTCCCCAGTTCTGCTCATGGGCGGGACTTGGCAAGCATTCTCTGGAGGATGCCTTTCTCATCAAATGGACAGCCCCCCTACACTACTCCTTCCCCCCCATACTGCTCATCTCAAGAGTACTACGCAAAATCTGCAGAGACGAAGTCATAGTCATCCTGATAGCTTTGTCATGGTCCCGTCAAACTTAGTATCCATACCTCTACAGGCTAGTAGTTCAGCCTTCCTATCCATTACCACACTGGGCAGATCTTCTATCTCAGGACAATGGGAGGATACTGCACCCACAACTCCATACCCTACATCTTCAGGCATGGCTTCTCTCTGCTTCACAGAGATAGAAGACCAGTGTTCTCAGCAAGTGAAGGAGATCCTCCTCCATAGTAGGAGACCATCCACATGCAAAAC